CAAAGCGTATGCCGGAGAAGGACGCAGCAGCACACGAACAAGGGAGTTCTCCTCCGAGAAAAAAATCTCTTTCTGCTGTGATTATTATTACATCTGGTTGCGATTTTTCGCCGAACTTCCTGCCTCATTGTTTGCACGTTCCCTTTTCATTCCACCTCGGTTTTTTTTTTTTTTTTTTTTTTTTTTGCTTTCTTTTATTTGCTACATATTTTTTTTAATATATAACACAGAAAAAAAGATACAATTCTTTCACTCTTTTTTTAAGATGTGATTTCATTCGCGCATACAAACACAATTTGATCATATGTAATTAATACATATTATGATCAATCGGTTGAAATATTTTCAAGAATCATATTATTTTTATTGATTAAACGCACTTGTCATACTTTAAAAGTGTACAAATAATTAATAACTTGATTTGATCAATTTGGTAAATTATTAATTGATGAATTATTTTAATTATTAACGACCCGTATAAATTAATGACTTATACTTAGCAATATAATTAATATACACATTTATAATATATAATTGTTTCTAAATTTTGCGAAATTTAAATGGTAGGAGCCTTACGCTGGATGTTTGTTGCAAAATAAATATACATCTGTATATATATTTATGTTTCTTTTCGTGTAAATTTTACACGTGAGTTTTGAATTGAAATTTCAATTCGTAAATTCATATACAGGATGCTATACTTGCATCACGTATACGAGAGAGAAATCCCCGTTTCTCCTCCTATCTAATTTTAAAATATTGCGAAAAAAATATCTCAGCCAGAAGTCGAACTTGGAATCCCCGGTTTTCCGTACCATAAAACAAACATCCAGCGTAAGGGCTTCTACGACCCCATTTAAATTTCGCGCTTAGTTTTAAAACTTAAGAAACCTAAACTTTCCATTAATTATTTCGTTGTACAGTTCTCTTTTTAGACAAAGCGTAGATAATACGCGTGCACTAAAAAAAAAACACTTTCCAAAAAAACACTTTAGTTCATACTACTCTTAAGCCTGATGATGATGATGAACCGAAATGTTCATGAGAAAAGATGCATTTTAGTTCAAGTTGAAGCTATTATTTTCAAGCTAAGTATGCTTTAATTCGTTATTTAATAATTTATGCGAATTAATTTACCAAACCCAAGAATTTCAAGTGACCCAGTTTCTAAAATTTCCTACCATAAAAGGTTAAGGTTGCCGCGACATTTATTTCGCCGTTCAACGAAATTCAGGGATTTCTCGCGAAATACAGAGAGTATAAGCGCTTACTCTTTCTCCCTTTCTCCTCTATCCTGTAATATATATTTCTGACAGTTGTTTCCACCCTCCTTTTGCGTAACGCGTGCTAGCCATTGGCGATGCGACGTACCAGAATTGAGTTGAATGTTCGTGCGAATACTCTACGAGATTTTCGTTTACTAGGTATCATTTATTGTGCTAAGCATCGTAATTAGTGCCCGGCGGCACTGCTGCCCTTGAGACTGCCTTAATTGGGGAGCGTTCGATACGAAGCGAAGGAGAAAGAGAAAGGGCGATAAGGAGAAAGGAATGGTGAAGGATGGGACGGGCGAAAGAGAGAAATAGAGAAAAAATATACAAAGGAGAAAAAAGATAAAAAGAACTATTTCGAATGAAATGTCTCATCAATATGCGATTAATCTTTCGTGTAGACCAACTTTCAAAAGTGCCTCTTAGTTGGACTAACTAGGTCTGTGAAACCCACGCGACTTTAAAATTCAAGATCTCCGCGAAAAATCAATACGTTTTTTATTTTATTTTATTTTTTTTTTAATCAAAAGTTCGAACGATTCTGCGTCGATCAAAGAAAACAAATTGAAAAAATCTCTAGTAGTTTCGAAGATGTGAGCGTTTAAACAAAAAGCCGGACAATTTTTTTTCTTTTTTTTCGAAAAAAGGTCTTCTGTTCCAAAATTTTTTTGTAATTAAGCTTTTATAAAATTTCCACCGTAGTTTTGTAGGGAATTGCTCGTATGCTTTCGCTCGTATATTCTCTAGGGAAAAAATTGCCTTCAAAAAGTTTTAAAATTAAAAATATTTTCGCAATGTGTCTTCTGAGAAAAGAATGACTTTTTAGCAAATAAGAATGCATTTGTTTACTTATATATCTATTATTTATAGGCTCGAATCTTTATAATGAATGTGTAACGGCTCACTTGCATTTTTTACAAACATCTTGAATTGAAATCTCGCGCGATAGCTTGTACGTGTGTCACGATTTCGTGTGCACGTGTATGCGTGAGTAGTTAAAATAAACAATCACAGTTTGTCACGGTTTTAATAATACATATGTGTGTGCAATAACATCGCACTCGCGACGATTCATCGACACCGCGTGCGACGATTCAAAACAAAAACTCGTCATCATATCCGCGCGAAATCACGTTCGCATCCAAAATCTCTGATGAAACGTGTAAAGAAACCACGTGCAAAGAAACGCCACGCCGTTTTGCAAAAATTGTCGGAACGCGAAGTATATACGTTGCTATCTACAAGGAAGATGACAACTGTCAACGCCAGCGCGTATGCAAAACTCTGGCGCTATGTGTATTTGGCGTGTGTCGTTTCTTCGCAAATAGATAAGTATTCAAGGTGTGTAACACAATGAATATATTCAGGGGGAAAAAAAAAACAATTTATCTCTATAAGAAGACGTGCGACGAGAACGGAGAATCGAAACATGAAAATTAAATATCACTCGATCTCCTATCACTTTGCATTATATTTAACAAGATATAAATTGTTTTCCATCGTGTACAACACGTGTCCGTCTGAATCAATTCAATCTCTGTTTGCGGTACACAAACACGGGACGCGGTAGTTCCGCAATTCCGGCGCAACAGATAATACCGTAGATACATTGTGCGGAAACACGTATTTGTTTGTATCACTCCCTCGCTTCTTTTTTTTTTGTTTTGTGATCGAAATAAAAATCATTTTCCTGTTTGAATCCTTCCGTCCGGATGACGGTTAAAATTATGATGTCGTTTCTTCTCTCTCTCTCTCTCTTTTAGCGTTTTTTTTATCGTTTATATATACGACGTACGCGCGTCGGTGTTGTTTAAAAAATGCATGCAAGCTACTTCTGCTGTGAACCTCGTGATTATCGGCAAAAAACGCGAATAAAAACACGATTGTATAAAATAAATAAATAAATAAAAAAAAAAAAAAACACCCACATAACGGTCGTTAAAAATGAAATAAACTGCAACTTTGTGTTTTACCGCTGACACACAAACCCGCGCCGCGATGCGATGTGGGCTTTTCAAACAAACCGTTCGACCACCATTCGCAGCTGTAGTAGTCATCGCAATCTATACGGCTTCTATTTGGAAGCGAAATACACGGATATCATTGGGGTACGATATTCCTGTTGGAGAGATAATGTTGCAGACGACATCTTGTAACAGTATACGAGCGGAAATGTTTGCGGAACGTTTTCCAGATAACGCGACACATAGCGATATTATTAATGATTAATCGGATACTGCGCTTTGCCTGAAACCGTAAGGACGTTCCCCGCATGTAATTTTCGACTGAAATCGTATTAAACGCATATTGTGTGTGAATTTTAAAATAACGAAATTATTCGAATTATTATTTCGCAAAAATTTAAAAAGTGATAAATTATTTTACTTGTATTTTAAATATGACACATTTATATTATAAATATGAAATAAATAGAATCAACAAAAAAAAAATTAAACCACAAAGAGAGAGAAAAATAAAAGAGTATGTGTGTGTAAGTAAATAAAATATATACAGATAATATACATATATTACAAAAACTCGGTATGATAAAGAGACATCTATCATTATCTATCATCTACAGATTCATTATTACGTGACAGATTCATTATTACGGATAAAAAATGAAAAAAGGGTATATTGTTGTGCCTTAGGCTCTCATTTATTTTATTTATTTACGTATTGCTATCATTTCTTTATTTATTACTTGTTGAATTGTGGAAAAAGATATGTTGGAAAACTTTGACACTTTAGAGCGTATGTGTGAGAGTCCAAAGCGAACGCACCCTATCGCGACTTCGAACTAAAAGCAATGCTTCTAGGTTAGAAACACGTCATGGTACGAATTGGTTGGTGTAGGTATGTCGAATGAATTTTTCAAACTGGAATTACGATGTGTGTATTCGAAATAAAACGCAAATCACAAACAAAAAAATTGCATTCCAGTTTATCGTTGTGAAGAAAAACAGATTTGCGATTACATAAAACATATCCGGTAGTTTCTGGAAAATGGAAAAGAGTGTCAACAAAATATCAGACGTATCATGGAGATTCGGAGGTAAAACGACTTTAGCGTGGTAATTGTGTTGCAAAAAAAAAAAAAAAAACCACTTCTAATTTGATCTCTTGTAGTAACTGCGGCGAGTAATGATTCCGACAACGTCGCCAAATCGTTCTTGCAGCTCAAGTTACGTATCGACAATGACGGTAAAGTAAAGAACGTCTTCACTGAGATGACAATAGGACAGTTTTACAAATTTCTACACGATTTAGAAGAAGCAAAGTGTAATCTAGATTTGTTGGCGTAAGAAACAATACGCATGCACATATAGTAAAATATTGTGTTTAATTATTGTTGGAAGTATTTTTCAAATTACACAAAATTGTCATATTTTTTGTATATATTTCACAATTTGCATTTTATTTAAAAATAAAATTATTTATTATCTCTAAGACTTAAGAAAATAACACAACTTGATCTATCCTTCTATTGTAATAAAAGATATTAATACTTTAATTTTCTTAAATAACACATTTGTAAAAATTGATAACTTATCAGATCTTGTTAATAATAGAGAACTTGAAATATACGCCTCTCAATATAACTTACTGGATAAGTAAATTATAGTACAATTAGCATTAGGATTTCTACAAAAAAAACCTTTACCTACATCTATATTCTTTAATAATTTATCAGAATACTTTTTATCAAATTTTATATAAATTAATATTGTAAAATAAATAAAAACTAATATATTTAGAAAAAACATATTATACATATATATAACGTACATACGTACAAAACTGCAGATCTTAAACTTTTTTTATTTTCTTTGAACGAAAGTATTCTGATAAATTATTTCGCATATACTAGGGTACTATTAATCATATGTATATATACACATTTTTTTCAACAAGTAATATAATCAAATTGCTAAAACATCTCTTTACAAAAACATTAGATAATTTCTTAGCTATAAAAAGATCTTCTACTGATGGAATTCCAATATAGTGGAATTTGATTTCAAAATCTCGTGAAAGACAAATTTTTTATTCAGTAAAAAGTCATGGATTATTATAATTATTAACTGATATGAATAGTAGTTAATGAAAGATCACGTACTATATAATAATAATATCAATATATTAATATAAATATATAATAACCACTCTGTAAACATTAAAAACCAATTGCGTTTAAAAGTAATTTGTGTAAAAAATTAATTGAAATAAGTCTCACTTTTGTAGATACTTTCTTCTTAAAAAAATAGGTATAAAAGTATAAGTGTATATTATTTTTTGACTAAAGTATATCTCATACTTATCTTGTATCACTTACATATCTAGTAAAGCTATAAAATATAATTTATTATGTCCGGTTGTGACACAGATTGCATTATCAATACTGGTCCAAATTTTCATGCAGGTTCTGTTGTGTGAAGAAAGTATGATCTGAAAGCAATATAAATAAATCTTATAAGATAAACACTTTTACAATACAAAAACATCTGTTTGTAAGATATAACGAATGTGTGTGTATAATTTATATAGATACGTATAAACATATATACTCTATGTATATAGTAGATATGTGATGGGTTTTATAAAAAACGAGATGAGTGATATATACGTGTCAACATTAGATACAAAAATAAGAAACTTTATTTATTCTTCAACAATGTACATTCAATGTGTGTGATTTGACTATTTATAATATTTATATTTCCCAATTTAATAAAATCATGCAGTCATCACAATCAGGAATATATGAAAACATTATACTTATACAACAAAATAAATATGTTTTCAAATAAAAAAAAAAAAAAGAAATCTCGTTACCTAATAACAATAGTATTTACATAGAATGCGTATATACATGTCTGCTATAAAACTTGCGAAGAACTACAACTGCTTAAAGAGTATGTAAAATATTGTCGATGTGTCGTTGATATATTATCATCTTGATGAATAACCTCGGCCCACTCATTTTACGTTAATAAATTCTTCTGCACACATCACACATGTATATGAACTATATATGTAATTTCATAGAAATAAAAAAAAAATAAAGAAATTACATTATCTTTTCTACAAAAAGACTATACAAAAATGGTGCAAACTCGGTGCAGTCTGTTTAAATCTTTAATACTGTGCTGTGCTACAATACTATATATAAACATTTGTCGAATTAGTGAAATTAATGGTGAGCCGCGTGTTTAAGCGCATTCCAAGCAATGCAATAAGTAAAAAAAAAAAAACAACAAAAATTATTTAAATTAAAACTAAAATGTGCGATACATCTGGCTTTTGGTCGATTTTTTTAAAATTCTCGCATTTGAACAAACATGTTAGAATAGACACCCGTTTTAAAGAATTTAGTCGTGTGAAAAGGTAGTATGGCAGGATTTATAATTTTTTTTTTCAAAGTCTTGCGTCTAGAAGGAAGCGGACTAAATACAGCACCTCTTTGGTTATTAGGATCCGCTAACGCTAACACAGGATTCGCTTGCTCATAGGATGACGAACCCTCCTGTAGCTTCGATACGCCGAGTTGTTGCAAAGACTTGCCATTTTCCGCTTTCTCTTGTATCGACTCTAATACCGGTTGTATTGCACCGAGCAGAGGACGCTTAGACGGTTCTCCAGACCAGCATTGCTCCATCAACATCCAGCACTCCTCATCAAAATGCGGTAGTTTCTCAGGTCTGATACCTAAAGAGACGAACGATATTCTTACTCTTTTATATATAAATTCTTGTATGTACTATAATGAAAACTTGTGAAACAAATATTACCCTTTCGTACACTTATCCACAATTGTTCCTTGTTTTGAAACTGCTCAAATGCGTATGGTAATCGAACCTTCCCAGCACAAATGTACCAAAAAAGAATTCCAAAAGCATAAACATCAACACTGCTGTCATAGTGACCAGATAAAAGTTCCGGTGCCATGTGGATGGGCGTTCCCACGATACTTCCCGACATCATAGCTTCGGTGATGCAAAATCCGAGATCCGTTAATTTGGCTCTGTTATCTGTATCGAGTAGAACATTCTTCAGCTTGATATCTCGGTGGACGAGACCTTGCGAGTGAAGATAACGTATTCCTTCCAACACGTCGATTGCAATTTGTATTCGTTCTAGCCACGAGAGACCGGCGTGTATACCGCAGTACAAGTCGCGACTTAATCGGTCGGTGATTAAGAGTACTGCCGCACCGAATCCGTATCCTCCACCATACGACTGATCAATGACCGAACCGCGAAGCTTCACTATCCTCTTATGATCTGGTATCGTCCTGGTATAGTAAACTTCCATCGCGAGATCGTTCCAGTGTCTCTCGTCCGGTGGAACAACGGACTTCACAGCGCATGGTCCTGGTGCTCCGCCCCAACCGTCGCATGCGAACACTACGCCGTACTGTCCTCTGCCGATCTCCCTGTTGTAATGCGGAATTCCGAAGCGAATCGCGTCCATCATCGATGTGGACTCCAGTGCGAGTTGGGCCAGCTTGGGCGCGTAAAACTTTCGTATGGCTATCCTCTGTTCCTCGGTTCTCTCCAACTTTCCCGAATAGTAATTCTCTAGAGACTTTAGGGCCGTCTGGAAAGCATCGTGCGACAATTTCAATTTGTCTCTAAACTGTGTGGATATAGTCCTCGCTAATCTTGCTGCCGACAGGGAATTCAGGATATCGATGGTGACCTTTCTTCTCCAAGCTGCGTTCAGTGTTGGAGTCGGTGACCACGGTAATGGCAAAGACTTGAAAAGCTGTCTCAGCCTTTCTAAGAATAAATGTACTAAGGACGGTGACGAATTATGCAATTCTACGTTGTACGCTACAGAGAGAATTTGTTTTAAGGCATCGCTAGCTAAGAGGCTACTGTCATGTTCGTACGTTTTTTCGAGGCTTATCAAGCAACGTTGAAGAGTTCCGATAAAAGTTTCTCGAAGACAGTTAACCGAGTTCACAAGTTCCTTCGCGACTTTCTCACCTAAACGGCCTAACACAAATCGCTGGACTTCCGACGTCGCGACGCGAACCGTCATCGTCCATTCCGATTGTTCGTTATTATCAAAGGAGATAGTCTGACATTGGTAAATATCACCGGTAGATTCTGATATATCGTCTTTCATTTCTTGAATAATATACTGTATAAGTTCAGTCAATTCCATTTGCTGCTCGTTAACAACCTTCATTAGACTAGTATAGAGTTCAGTTTCTTTCTGTTGAGCGTATTGTATTCTTCTTGGGGTGATTTGTATCTTACGTGCCATGTCGAACGCACTTAAAATAAATTTACGTAAGCTGTTTGTGTGTACCTCGTTCAAATAAGTGATGGCGTTAATCAAATAGTTTTGCAAACAGCCACAGGTAAAATGTAAGATACGGTCCGTTCTTTTGCATGAATCCACCAAATCACTTGAATTGTTGAGATATTGCTCGCCAACAAGCCACGTTAACTGATGAACCTCAACAGATTCTTCCATGCCGAGAAATCCTAAACTACTCAATTGATCCAGCCATGTTAAACCAAGTGAATTCATTTTGTCAATATTAATACTATCGTTGCTTTTAGATTCTTTAGAATTTGGCACTTCTATCCGATTTTGTAAACTATGCTGTTCAGATTCAGTCAACTCGGCGTCTGTACCATCCAATGAAATGTTTGCTAACGACGATATGAATAAAATTGGATTATGGGGATAAGTTTCTTTCAAGTCTCTCAACTCTTCCAAATTTTCTTCAGTCAACGGTTGCTCTCCGAGAGCATAAAGAAATATAGGTAAAATCTTCAATGTACCTCTAGCGAGAATTTTCACCACACCATTGTTGGGAACAACAAATATTTGAACACCTTCTTTTAGCACCGCTTGATCTAATTTTACTTCCAGTACTGTTGGACAATTGATATCTTCACTTATTGACTTTGCCAAGTCTTCGATAGGAAGCGTGTTCCACGAGTTTTCGTTTGAGTGTAAGGTTTCCACTACTTCGTACTCTAAACCTAATGTGAGACTGACATGATTTGTGTGACCATAAGTAAGTTTGACCCATCTCCATGAATCATTAGACAACGGCAGGATATCAGCTGAGAGCAAGTTATTGACCAGTGTAGCTTTGGCTTTATTGTCTTGTCCAAAGACAATTATTGCGGGTGAGTTATTAAGAATATTTGTCACTTTATCCAAGGTCAAAGGAGGCAATAGTTCTTGAATAATATCCTCTGTAAAAAAAGAAATATAATGTAATATGCAATTAAAATAATATAATAGAGTATACATAAATAATAATAATAATAATAATAATCACCTCCAGGAAAAAAATTTTCTAATTTTATAACTTCTAATGTACGTTGTGTCTCTTCAAGTATATGTCGTAGCTGATTCCTATTCCGTTGATATCTTCTAAATTCTTGTGGTAAGTTACTTACCATTTTTTTCTCGCACTTTAGTCATACATATTCCACAAAATGGTCACATATCCTATATATACAGTACATATCATTATATAATTAATATACAGTTTCCGCAGTAATATTTTTAACAATTAAACTACTTTAATTTTTATACAATTGGAGATTTTTTTAATGTATAAGAGAGGTATATATGATATACAGTAAACAAACAGTATTTTAAGTTTCTCTTGTTTTAATAAAATATTTAACGTGCTTGCTAGCCTTTAAGTTTGAAATCAAATAGGTTAGACATATCACGAAGAAATGCAAATTTCTAATCTTCATTAGCGATGCAATGACACATGTGTATGTATAAAATATAACTATCAACATGTATACACACATGTATATACACATTAAAACTACCAAAGTAATCACATCCCCAAGTTGAAATCACATCTAAAAATAGTACTTCATATCTTGCGTAAACAAAAATTTGTCAACAGAATCGGTTAAAAATCAAATCTCGCACGTCTCGCTTACATTTTATCGGGAAATTTAGTTGTGATGGACTAAGGGAGCGGAATTTTCCCTGTTGGGTGATAAATCGCGGTCATCGCGGGATCTCCCGCGTGCTGTTGTTCCACGGAAATATACTTTGAAACGGAAGTGTGTGTGCGGCATTGTTTTTGTGCGTGATCAGCGCTGTGTGAAAGCGGCTAATCAAGACTTGTTGTACCCCCGTTCGCCGATAATGCGGTTTACATTACATGCATGTATACATATACTCACCATGATGAAATGTTTCGTGATCACAGCCATTCGAACGTGAGCGCAAGATCGTCGTTTGTGTCGCTAGGTCATCTGAGTGCAAATCAAGAAGTTATAGCTTGCGCGAAATCGCCGTGTATCGAAACACATGTTTAAGCATCATTGAGACACGCCGCTTTGATGCCGCGTTTCAACTCAACTTGAATTAAGAGCAACTGTTTTGAGGGGGAAATTATGGAGGGGAATTACATACATATGCATACTCCTTCACTGCAATAAAAAAAAAAAAAAAACAAAAAAAGAAATCACGCGCGATAAAAGCACACGCATCTTTAAATACATGATCATGAATTGTTGCTAGACATTGTTGGTGTATTGGCTCTAATATTCATCGTCGGTGCTACAAATTTATAGTTCACGTCATGTATGTTATTGGTTTGGTTTGGTGCGCATATGACCCTGGACCTAGAACGGTTAAGGTGACTTTTCATGGAGCGAAAAAAATCGCGGCGATACCACGTGACGAAATTTAAATCGCGGCGATTTCAAACACTTGTTGTTCAGTACTTCGGTTATGTTTGAGCGTCGTAACAGAATTTGCTCTCTTGGCTTATGGGCGCGGATAAATCACATACGTATACCTACGGTGACCATACGTCCTATATTTAAGAGGACAGTCCCTTTATTTTGTTGCTCTGTCCTTTAGATTTTTTTTTTTTTCTAAAATGGTCGTTTTGTCCTTTGTTTTATGAAATGTTCTTTATTTTATAAAATGAAACCTGCCAATATAAATGGGTTGAAATTTTTTAATATTTTATAGATATACCCTTACGAAAAAGAACTACTGGCAGTGCAAGCATCATTTTGTCTTCTACATTTAACGAGAAATCAAGATAGAATGATGCTTTGAAACATTTGCAGTAAGACTTTGACCGCACCCTGAAACTATCGCTAGCGACAAGACATCACGTGACTACACTGGTACTTTTCGCAGCGATTTTTTACGCTCCATGAAATCGCGCCTTTAGAACACAGTCCGTTTTTGGTATAATAGAGATTAATAGCGCTTTTATCGACTAAGTGGCGACTTCCAGAAATAGACTGCGCGTTCCCTATCTTGTCTGTGGAGAGGGAAGGGTCAAAACCCAGACAAGCCAATGACAAGACAAGGATTGGTATTGGTGCAATAGTATAGCTGGCGGTATATATTAAAGAAAAAAATATAAGTAATTGTTTTGACTGTTGTTTATTTATTTATATTAATAAATTGACCGCGTAATGGTGGTTTATTGTTTTATAGAAGGTTGTAAATCAACCAAATATAAAAGTGTAAAAGAGGACAGTAAGATCCTTTTAACTTTTTTTGGGTAAGTTATCACATTTGTTTGAGTTTAGGTTTAGGTTAGATTAGGTTATCTTAGTATATAAATCTAAAATTTCATGTATCTTATAAAAGTATATTTTGTATAAAAGTAAAAATTTATAAAACTTTATAAATGTATTATGTTTTTCTTTGTATTACATATAACAATATACAACTATTGTTATCATCTAAAATATAAATGTATCAATTTGTCTCATATAATTGAATAGATTTCCAACAAACTCAGTTTTACGAGAAAAGTGGATAGAAGCCCTTATTAGTTCTGGTCATAGTCAAGAACATATAGCAAGAATTTCAAAATGTAGCCGAATATGTAGCCTACATTTTTCTAAAGATTGCATTGAAACTATTGGTTTTTCATGTGGTCGATTGAAACCAAACTCTGTGCCAACAATATTTCCAAATGCACCAGAAGAAAAGTAAGAATATAAGTATTTTACATATAGTTAAATTAGTTAAAATGGTTTGTAAAAACTCATTGATCATATATTATTTATATATTTCACAAATGTGTTATCTTTAGTAAAACTGAAATTAAGAATGCTGGATCATCAAATATATCACCTGTGGAAATAAAAACTTTTAAGTATAAAACTGAGATTTGTCAAACTCCTTCCAAAAAACACACATCTGTCGAAACAAAGTCTGTTGCTGAATATGAAGATAAAGTTCAAACTCCTAAAAAGCAAACATCTATGAAAACAGAAACTATTGATCAGTGTGAAGATGAGATTTGTCAAACTCCTCCCAAAAAACACACATCTGTCGAAACAAAGTCTGTTGTTGAATATGAAGATAAAGTTCAAACTCCTAAAAAGCAAACATCTATGAAAACAGAAACTATTGATCAGTATGAAGATGAAATTTGTCAAACTCCTTCTAAAGAACAATCATCCATGGAAATAGAAACTGTTGTTCAGAATGAAGATGAGATTTATCATATATCTTCTAAAAAGCAAACATCTATGGAAATAGAAACTGTTGCTGAGCATAAAAATAAGGTTTCTCAAGCTACTAAAAAGCAAACATCTATGGAAATGAAAACTGTTCAGAGTGAAGATGAGATTTATCAAGGTGTTTCTAAAAAGCGAATTTATTATGCAGGTGATATTAATCTTAGAAACGTTGAAAACATGACACCAAAAATGTTAGTAAAATCACTGAATATATTGAAGAAGTCCTGTGAAAAGAAAGACAAGATAATTAATCGATTGAGAGCACAGCACTGTTGTCAAAAGAAGAAGATTGAGAGTTTAGAGGCTTTATTGTCGAAATTTCGTGAAAAGAATATCCGTTCTCAGATTTCATAGACATTTGTACAAGTAAAAAGAAAAGTGGAAACACAAAATTTTTCTACTCTATGTGATAATCTGGAAAAGTTTATTATGTAAAGCAGAGCCTTCCAACTGATTATGCATAAAAATCTTATAGCGTAAACCGTACGCCATGCGTGAGTTGGAAGAGTCTGATATAAAGAAATATTTGACAAGTCGTTGCATTTTAAAAACGTATTTCATAACATCTGCTAATGCTGTATCTATTGTACACATATCTCATAAATATTAAATGTATTTTATGCTAATGATAATAAAATTAAGTATGCTAAAGTTATATATCTTTTTCAATTTATACAAAAAAAAAAAAATGAATAAACTATATCGCACACTCTGTCCAGCAAGAGAATATCTTCGGTCTGCGAAGATATTCTATAGGAAAAGCAAAGCGGTCAAAGTAGGGAGAGCGTTGCACGTGGCACACCCGCTGGCAGCTACAGCACTGTGAAGTAGGTTTTTCTGATAGGAGATATGCGCGAAACGGGCGAGTTTCGCCCGCTTTAATAATGTTCTCTCGTTGAACAAAAGATATTGTGTGTATATTAAAAATTCACTGTCAGTACTGGAAATCTTATTATATGTCACGTAAAATATAGATTTTCAGTTTTGACAGTGATTAACGCAACCTGTGTATCCTGTGATCTCGTTTTGTAGGAAGTCGAAAATGCGCATTTGTCCGGCTTTAAACCAGTCAGAACCGTTGGCTAAAGAGTTGTTCTGTGATGTCGAGGGATTTTGTCGCGCTTTGAGGAACGAATAATTCCGGAGAGTTACGTTACTTTGTATATTATCTACACTATGCCGTTAGTGCGCAGGTAGATTTTTATAGTTATGTAAGGTTGCCATGAACTTGTGATACGGAATCTACGAAATTCTCCGAAGATGGTTGGGATTGCACCAAATACCTGCAGAAATGCGCTGCGTCAAGTAAGTTCCTCCAAAAAAAAAAAATGTTAATTAGCGATAATTTACAACTGCGGGACTTTTTCTACTTGCAATAATCTTGTAATTTGTTTTTGCGTTCGCGTGTACAAGCATGAACAACTGTCAACTATTCGCTAATAAGACACTTGTATACATATATACTTATATACATATATACGTGTGAATGTGTAATTTAAATAAATCATATCGAAGTTCTACACATTTTCAGATCAGGGCTTTGCATACTGCACCAGTTCAAAATGCTGAGGCCAGAGTGAAGACCTTTTCAGTTTATCGCTGGAATCCTGACAAACCCGATGAAAAACCATACATGCAGAAATATAAAATTGACCTGAATAAGTAGGTTTTAGTACTTTTTATCGATGAGATTAAATGTGTCTCTGAAGTGACATAAAATAATTTATTTCCTTGCACACTTAATATAAAATTTATTATAGATGTGGCCCAATGGTATTGGATGCGTTAATCAAAATTAAAAATGAGATGGATCCAACTTTGACATTCCGTCGATCTTGCCGTGAAGGTATTTGTGGATCTTGTGCTATGAATATTGGAGGAACAAACACATTGGCATGCATCAGGTAAAACTCATCCAAATTTCTGTCTATGTATTTTACAAACCTATATATTTTCGGTAATAATAGTCCTTATCGCTCGAGCAGATAGAGAGCGTTATACTGAGTCAAACAGTTTTTTTATCACTCTGCGAGATTTGCAATAATTAACGAGTTATTAATTGATAATAAAAATCCACGACTGAGCGTGCATCCACGTGCAAAAGACAGTCCATTGTTTTGCTCGCTTATGATTGTTACGTTTTTTTTAAATCAAAATAATTCTAATATCAAGATGTTGATAATGATTATTTATTTATTTACGGAAAGAATCCCAATCGTTGTTAGTTATTGATTTTTATGTAATATATTTATTATATATGCTGTTTATATTAACTCCTCTTATTTTCATTGAGTCGCCGCGCGCATAACAATTATAAGCGCGCGAAACAATGGACTATCTTTTATACGTGGATGCACGCTCAGTCGCGGATTTTTATTATTAATTAATTAATAACTCGTTAATTATTGCAAATCTCGCAAAGTGATAAAGAGAATTTCTCAACTTACTATAACCCTCTCTATCTGCTCACGAACGGTACGACTATTACCAGACACTGTATCTGTATATTATATATATATATATATGTATATAAACATACACGACAATCTGTTGCTAAGCCAGAATAAATCATATATTTCAGTAAAATTGAAACAAACACAAGTACAAGCTGCGATATCTATCCTTTACCACACATGTATATTGTCAAGGATTTGGTGCCAGATTTAAATAATTTCTACAACCAATATCGCAGTATACAGCCCTGGTTGCAGCATAAAGATACAAAGGAAACGGGTAGTCAACAATATTTGCAAAGTGTAGAAGACCGTAAAAAGTTGGTAAGCAAATAATTTCATTGTTATTACAATTATCTTCGTGTGTGTTTAAAGCTGTAGGTTTAATCTAAATTTTAATGACACAGGATGGTCTCTACGAATGTATTCTTTGTGCTTGCTGTAGTACTTCTTGCCCATCTTACTGGTGGAACGGTGACAAGTACTTAGGCCCTGCAGTACTTATGCAAGTAAGCATATCTCTAATATTAATATTACATTGTTTTAGATGAAATATCCTATAATAGAGAATAAATAATCACTGGGTTAAAAGATTTTGACAAAAAATTTCTTCCAAGTTTCTTCCAAGCATAAACTTTATATAGCATATTTTTGCTTATTTTCTTGAAGGTTTTTAACTACAGTATTTTATTTTTAGGCATATAGATGGATTATTGATTCGCGAGATACTCAAGCAAAGGAACGTCTAGAGAAACTAAAGGATCCATTTTCAGTTTACCGCTGTCACACTATTATGAATTGTACACGTACTTGTCCGAAGGTAAGTTTAGTTTATTAGTAGATCTACTTTTGATTATTGCACGATATGCAACAAAAAATTTGTAGTCTTAGATTTGAATATACTCTGTATCTTACTTTGCTCTAATCTCAACGATCTAGATCAATTGTTGTTGATTTTAATTGGTTTAACGCTTAAACAAAGAGCTGTACATATCTCAAGTAGATTTTATATATCGTTAATGGGTAATTTCAACATTTATAAACACATTTTAATGGACAAAAATTATTTGCAAATATATATATTTTGCTCAGGGTTTGAATCCTGGAAAAGCGATCGCGGAAATAAAGAAGCTGTTGGCTAATATTAGTCAGAAGCCGCAGCCGGAGCTTACCGCATCAGCGTCTTCGTAGTTAAAAAAATTTAGGTAAAGCCAAATAAAGTTGTTATGTACGTGTTCTTTACATTTTATAGTGTGCAGCAGCAAAAGTATTATATCAATATATTTATGTATTTTATAAAGTATAGCGGATAAAATCTTCTCTTGTAAATTGAAAGATTAATCATGCTCTACTTGTAAATAAAACCAACTTCCCACATATAGCACTACGAACTGCAACAGTTAGTTTTGATTTAACAACGATTTTCCAAACAAAAATAGCTTAGACCGCACCCTTACTTAATATAATATTTTTTTAATATTCTTGTAATATATATTTTTATGGTTCTGCGGCCATTCGGATTCTGGCGGTTTCTCGTGATCGATTGTGCACTTCAGCCGTGCGTAATGTTATACCGAATATATCCTCATGATACCGATTCTCATCCTAGAAACAATAGTTTGGTGTAACACAACGTCTGATTGTTTGCTATTACATACACACATGTAAATCTTGAAGATAGCATAGAAAAGAATGACGCGTAAAATAATTACCCTGAGCGATAACATGTACTCTTCGACTTCTTTATCTGCCATTTTACCGTGCGTTTGTATTATTTGTTTCAAGGTTTGATAAACGTCCTCAGCCATTGTACAGTCACCACAAACATAGAAATGCCCGCGCTCACGCACTATCATCGCGTAAATCTGAGGCGCTTCCGCTTGAATCAAATCTTGCACATAGGTCTAAAATTATATATATATAAAAGTGTGACGTTTCTATATAAAGTCTTTCTTTCTGAGATTTTATAATTTACAGATATTTATAGATTTTATAATTTCCAAAAAGTCAAATATACCTTCTTAAAACCAGGTTCTCGGGACAGTGCTAGAAACACCTTGTCTAAGACACCTGCTTCCAACATTTCTTTTTTCTCTTGCCTGTATAAATCCAAGTTTTTCTGACGACAACCGAAGAACAGCCAAATCCTGCCAAATGTTTGCTCTGCAAAATAAAAATATATTGCATTTACATAAGATATCGTACATAAAAAAAATAGACTGTATGAGAAAAAAATGTCTGTACTCTTCTCGAATTTCATCTGATAGAAGCGATGTTCCCAGAAACCTCGGAAAGGAGCAATTCCCGTGCCCGGTCCTACTAGTATCATCGGTGCTTCAGTCTTCGTCGGCATATAAAAGTTAGGAGCGCTTAAACATCAATTAATCCAATTAATAATGAAAAATTCACGTATGATTAAATATAACACCATGTTTAAATTTTGAAATTGCTTACCTGCGTACAAACACATATAATGATTCTCCTTTGGATGTGTCTCGCAAATAATTGGAACAAACGCCAAAGTGTACCGGTCCAGAACCGTCTGTATAAAAATGGAGAATAGTGAAAACAATAAAAAAAAAAAAACAAGGAATAAAGAATATAATAATATACCTTGCGTTCGATATTGTACCACTGCAACCGTCAAGTGTATTTGATTTGGGTGAACATCTGGTGATGACGAGATGCTGTAAAATCGCGGTTGCAACGGTGTTAGATGAAGCAGAAGCAACGGAGCAAACGGAGTCACAGATTGAAACTCGTCCAAAACTTCAGCCAAATTGGGAAATTTCCAATGTCTCCAGTCTTCATAAGCTGTCGGATCCTGTGTTTCATAAAAAAATCTCAGAAATTTAATCTTTTACATATTTTTTGCGCTATTGTTATACAAAATGTTTAAAACCTGCTTTATTTAATTGAATTTATATGATTTCCTACATTTACGCGCGCATTTGTTTTGTATATATGTATATATATACATATATAACGAGAAAGATTAATTTTATTTAAAAAAGTACTTTTTATATCTTTCAGAGTTTGAAAAATATAAAAATTTTTTTTAATTCTTTTTCGAGAACCTACTACGTTTACATATTTACATATTTACAGAGGCCAAAAGATCAAGTTGCGTCCGTTCCTTCTCATTCGTAGCTATCGAAGCGAAATATCTTAGCAAATTTGGCGTGGGTGGCGTTGTAATGTCCATAAATCGAATCAACATCATTCTGAGAGAATTTGGCAAATATCTATCATGAGGTACCCACGTTTTCACAATGCCTAAAAGAAATTTTCCACTCATCATCAGTAGTGTATAAAAAATATATGTATACATAAATATAAGTATATAGATCTCAGATTAATTAACCATTGGGAGTATGCGCTTGCTTTTGCAATTGCAATTCGACCGGTGTATCGGGATCGAAAGGAGACTGCACACGTTGCAGGATCTTATCCACAAGCTCAGCTCGATTACACGCAAATACGCCTAAATGATCCCCCGGTTTATAAGAGATGTCCATGCCCTCTATGGTGCCTAGTTCCAGGAGCAATGTTGTACTGCTCGATTTGTTGCCGCTTAAATTGGTTTTGCGAAGCATGTTGCACATCGTTACGTTTTTGTTGTGACATTTGATCAACGCATTAGTGATCGGTTGAGAATCGGCTTCTACAAAACGAACCGTTGATGGAGATAAAGCTTCGGAGCCTAAAGACAAAGCCATTTCCAACAACGTGTCGTCATCATCCAAGCAGAAAGTTTCGCATGCGATCGCAAAAATGTCAGCCGCCCATTTCCGAAAAGCTTGCTCCTGTCCGCACATCTCGTCTCCCTGAGCTAAACGCGCCAGCCGTTCTCCGCCCAATTCGCCCAACAAGTTGTCGACATAACGACCAAACGCGCAAAAGTTCGGATAAGCGGACGAACCTAATGCGAATACAGCAAATCGGACATTACTTAGAGGTCCAAATGTGTCTTCAGCTTGCGAGTCTGTTGTAGAACCACGCAAGGAATCCAATCTGTCCAACTTCTTCGATCCGCTTACTTCCGTTTGACTATTAGCTTTAATAAATGATTTGGAAGTTGCCAAATTAATTTTATTCTCGCTGTTTGTATAAGCATCATTCATTTTCATCGCGTATAGATTTTGCGCGAAGGCCTCTCCATTTTCCGGTGGATCGCCATTTCCAAATGTAGACGTCACCACCATCAGTAGAGCCTCGTGTTCTATGTTGCTAATATCATAATCCGCCATGCAAAGTACTTGAGAATGAAAAGCGTGGCCTAATAATTCGTTTAATTTTTCCGCGTACATTTGGGACGTTCCGGTCTCCGTGGCAAATAACACGGTTGCTTTTATACGTCGCGATAACGCACGTCCAAATAACTTGGATGTAAATTTAACGGCTCGGGCAATTTGCTTGAAGTGAAACTTTCGTCTCGGCTTCTTTGTCGTCGATTTTTTATCGCGTCCTTTTTTCCACACGTGGGTTTTCCACGCTGGATCCTGAGCGTCGTAAGACGGCTTTAAATGATAAAGCGCCATTTCTTGATGAAACACCGGCGTCGCGGATCCGGATATCGGTGGCACAATCCAGAGCCAATCAGCGGGACAGCCGTTACGAAGACGCATTTCATTCTCATAATGTTTCATGAAAGATTCGCTAGCGGTGTGATGATCTACGATCGTCACGTTCTTTATTTGAAAACTGTGGAGCACCGCGACATTAGCTTCTACCATCGCTTTGTCTTTCCATAACGATGTTGGCGTTCTAGTGTCCAGACCCATGTTTGTCGCTATTGTCTCAAGCATGTTATATCGACTTGCGTCACACAAATCTCGAGAACCAATCTCGGTGCTCATATACCAGCCGTTGAAAGGCGCCGCGGTAAACACCAAGCCGCCGCAATCAAAAACCATTGCAGATACAGCCGGAATAGCGTACCACTTTAGATCCAGTTTTTCGAACCAATCATACCTGTTGTTTAAATACGCACTGGATGTATTTTATCGCGCATATTAAAATATCTCATAATTTACATACGGACGTTACATAACGCGTAATCCTTCGAATTAGATAATTTTTTTAACAATATGTAAAAAATAAAAAACTCACGTGGGATGACTAAGAGGCACTTCTAGTACCAAATCTTTGGGAATATCAAAATAATCCGGATCATGTCCATTGGCGGATAAAACTAATGGTAATATGTCAAATCTGGTTTGTGGCGCTTTCCATCCCAATTTCATGCAAATCTGTTGGGACAAAAAGCTGAATCGATTAAATTATTCCAAACGTATGTATAAAACAAACAAACAAACAAAAACTACGCACGACTTACAAACATAAATTCTAAAATTTGACGTAAACGAAAACACAAAAGAATAATCTCGAAACTTAATTTTTTTTTTCAAAATTTAATTCACACGCGTAATAAAAAAGTCTTTTCTGACCTCGGTAAATTCTACGTTAGCAGGATCGCCGAGAATAGTGCCGTCTGGATTTTTGTATCCCGCATAATTGAGCAATTGTCTATTCCATACTTTATAATCGTGCTTTCCGTCGGTGCGCTGTGGAAATATAGTTATCGCGGATCTGAGAAAAAAAAATTGTGCTTATAAATAAACTACACAGAACATATATATATATATATATATATAAGAGACATTGTATAATTTCAAATAAATTTTACCTGATGTTTCCTTTATTTGTACTATATTTAATATGATTGCATAAAGCCTCGAACATGCCGCTCGTAGTTGTAACGTAGCGACAATCGAAAACCTATACAGAGATGTTTGTTATGCGTAAAAATATGTTCGAATTATTGCTTTTAGAAAAATATCGACGCGATTTTCTTTGTGACGAGAGAAACAAACCTGCAATTTTGACCACTGTATGCGGCCGATGCAACGCACGGCGTTTCGCCATGCTACCTTCGCGCCGAAAACCAATTCCGTTTCTGTTAATTGATATGTACCGGTTGAATTCACTTCTTTTTGCACGCTTTCCCAACGTGCGCGATGAGCATCGCTATTCAATCTGAATCGCGCGAGCAAAGAGATAAAAGTTTCAAAACGGAAGTTTCAAGAAATTATATTATAAAACTTTTTTTTTTTTTTTTTTTTAATCAAAAACCGCAAGTTTTATTACCTTCTAATAGAAGTGAAATATTGTTCCAAAAAGTCTTTTGCTTGAACCAAGACTTCCTCTTTTGTACGCGGTTCGTTTCCGTGAAGCGGCAGTTGCATTATGCTACCGAGACAGAGTTGATTCGTGCAAAGAGTTTTCTATAAAATAGTGTTTCATTGTTATTCCGTTTGCATTATTTTCGTCTTTTTTGTATGTTTATTATGAAATTGCGTCAAATTAGAAAATCCAATGAAAAGGAGTTGTAGAGCGCGCTTTGTGGTTTTTTGAACAAATACATTAAAAATATTAAAAAACCGCCAAAATGTGTATTTTTTTTTTTTTTTTTTAAGAGATATTATAAGGTTTTAAATATTAAAATTGTTTTAAACCTACCTCGGCATTTTTTACGTGCAAGGAATCAAACGCTTCAGTTTTGTCCGAATGATTCTTAAGTTTCGTAGGCTTTTTTTGCTGAGACGATCCGTCGTGGTCCTTCATTTTGAGTTCGAGTACGTCCGACCACTTCGCAAGTCTGACTACTTCTGTCTAACAGACGTAGACTACTGACATAGACGACGATAAGGAGGGAAGGATCAGCAAGGAGATGACACAACGTAACATCTCACGTGCCGTTATCTCACATGCGCCAGCATGCGCAACATTGATCCATCTCTGCTCGTCCTCGAAACGTTCGCGGAGAGGAGACGTGCGGGTGTATAAATTTCAACTCTAGTCTTTAAACTTCGTTTAAATTCAATTCAAAGTCGATGTTCGCGTATTCTTTGAATTTTTCGTGTTCTTAATAATAAAATTTGAGTTTTTCTTTACTACTTGTAAAATATTGTTTTTTAATTTTTTTTTGTCGTAAAAAAAATGCTTTTTATATCTATGATAAATTTATAAAAAATTTAAAAAATACAGGAGAAAAGAAAATCAAAGTGCGTTGGATTAAGTATTATGTAAACATTGTAAAAATATATCAGAAATAACGTCTATATTTTGTGTGTCACAGATAATTATCTTATAATTGGCATTGCGAGATATGTATACAGTTCGCTGAAATGAAAAAATTCCTTTCAGCAAAGTTTACTTCTCTCGTGCTGCCACACTCCACTATCATATACTTGTCACGCATGTGATCGCACATGCGCAGAAAGAAAAAATAAAATCTTGTGACATGTATGAAAATATTTTTTTTTTTTTTTGAATTTTCACAATATCAGTTACGTCCTATCTCGAAAATTTTACTTTAACAACATTCGACTGCATGTACAAGTTTTTTAATTATCTGATAACGTTGTGGCACAATCCCACTTCATGGATCTTTCAACAGCCATTTTCCACTTTGAATATCTGAGGTCTCTCTCTAAAATAACAAACAACATTATTGCCAAAATATGCGCAAGGAAAATGTAACTTACCATTGTCACCAATCGAGGGTGAGAATTTAGTTATTTGAGATGCATCCACATCATTTATGTCAATCAAGCCTACACCAATGCCAGCCAGAATGGCAGCACCTAATGCCGTTGTTTCAATCATATTCGGTCTCACTGTGTGTGATAACATACAGTTACTTGTTGAGTAAAATAGCAGCAATATAACAATTTTGTTACGGATTAGTGTAACTTTTGCTTACCAACAGTTATTCCTATCAAGTCCGCCTGTAATTGCATCAGCAAATTATTTACCGTCATACCACCGTCAACTTGCAGAGTGGTCAGTGTCGTTCCCGAATCTTTCACCATTGCCTCTAATATATCTCTCGTTTGGAAACAGACTGCTTCTAACGCTGCTCTTATTATGTGATATTGTTGAGTGTCCTCGGTAATGCCGCAAATCACTCTAATTTTATTAATTTAGAGTAGAAATGACATAAAAATATGTACAAACGTTTGAATGAATTATAGAATAATCTCAACAGTCTAATAATAATACCCGCGCGCATCTTGTTGCCAATAAGGTGCGTACAATCCTGAAAAGGCTGGCACAAAGTATACATCGCCTGAACATCTCACACGCTCCGCCATATCTTGCATGTGCGATATATTGCTGAAAAGCTGCATGTTATCTCGCAGCCAAGATAGAGCAGCTCCGGCAACAGCAACAGATCCTTCGAGAGCATAAACAGCCGGTGATCGAGCAATTTTGTAAGCAACAGTAGTTATCAAACCATGCGTCGAGTCGACTTTCTGCAAAATTAATTAAAAGTTACATGTATATAATAATAATATTTATAATATTTTAAATTATTATTTATATACATGTAACTTCAATTAATCAATTCTTTGATCAAGTGTTCTGAAAATGTTTTACATACCACGTTTCCAGTATTGTAAAGCAAAAAACATCCTGTGCCATATGTGGCCTTCGCCTGACCAGGTTTTAAACATAACTGACCAAGAAGAGCTCCCTGTTGATCACCTACACACTGTATATTAAATACATAAATAAATAACATAATATAATTTAAAACAGTTTTTTGTTTCTTCAATAATGAATATACATATATACTTACACCTGCTATAGGTATGCCTGCAAGAATTTCAGGATCTGAAATGCAACCGTAAACCTCCGCGCTAGAGCGTATTTCAGGGAGAATATGTTGCGGAATATCGAAGAAACGGCATAACAAAGGATCCCATTTCAACGTTTCGATGTTCATTAGCATCGTTCGTGATGCATTCGACACATCCGTAATGTGCAACTGGCCCTTTGTAAGGTTCTGAAAGCAGAAGGAAATTGTTCAAAACAGAAATGATGTTCAATATTTTTTTAAAATTTATTAAAAAATTTTCATTTACCCAAATGAGCCAGGTGTCGATTGTTCCGAAAGCGCATTTCTCTACGTTTACCGCTTGTTTCACACGAGGAACGTTATCGATCAACCAGCGAATCTTGAGTGCGCTAAAATAAGGAGACATCGGTAAACCGCATAACGGTTTCAAATAATTCTTGTTCCTGGCTTTATTCGGAATATTGTCTAACACATTTTCTATGGTAGTAGTTGTCCTCATATCATGCCATACTAAAAATTTTAAATCAATTTTCTCATCAATATTTAAACTTATTACACTTCAGAGTGGCAAAAAAAACGCTGTTGTAAACAATTTGACAGAAAAACGAGACGATGTCCGGTATTCGCACTTCATACCGATTGCATTATGCAATGGCTCTCCGGTCTCCTTGTCCCAAACCACCGTTGTTTCTCTCTGATTGGTGATACCGACGGCTTTAATGTCCGAGACCGTCAAACCAATGTCTTTCATTTTTTTCACAGTTACTTTTATACACTCTACGACCGCTTGCAATATTTCTTTTGGATCTTGTTCCACCCATCCTTCTTGAGGATATTTCTGTTTGATTTCAATTTGATGCGAAGCAACTACCTTTCTGTGTAATACATCGAACACCTGCGCACAGAAATACAAGATTCAACCGATCGAAAAAGATGAAGAATACTCATGAAAGTCAGTAAAAACAGTTTTTGTTTATTATAGCAATCAAAGAATTGTCATTATAGTATGATATATCACATAAACATGTTAGAATTTTATATAAACCGAGAGATTATTGCGTAGATTTTAAAAAGTAAATGTAAAATGTGTCCATCGTAATTTTTTACGTAAATATACATATAGGGTACGATGTTTGTTATGCAAAAGATGCAACTGAAAGAGAAACACAAACGACTTTTTCAATTTTGCGCAGGTAATATTTCATAATTAGGAGACATGTCGCGCGTAAAATTATTGCGTCTCTCTGTCACGGCGCATGCTCGTGTTGTTCCATTCCATCGATACAACAGTTTTCGTAACCTCAAATGCCGCGTCACTCTTAACAATTGCTTAACAATTTTACAATTTCCGTTTTCCAATGTTTTTACACAACAAAAACAAACAAAATAGATTTTCCCGCCAAAATTAAAAACGAGTGCTTTTTGCCGCCAAAAATCTTTGACTCGTTCTTTTTTAGCAAATGTCAATTGTCAATGCTGCATTTGTATGCGTTTGTATGTGTGTGCTCATGCTTACCAAAAACCTCGCGCTACTTGTTCCTTCGTCAATAGCACCCACGAAGGGTCCTTTTGCATCATCGGGCATGTTGATTTTGGAGTATCGCGTGGAGTCGGGATCCGCGATGATACCTTTCGTGTGTGTTAAAAAGGGAGTGTTACACAAACATATGTTCTCAACCTTTGTCCTATTTTATTACGCAACACACACGTAAAAAAAACATTTAAGATTTAAAAATTTAAAATCTAACCGCAAAACGTTGAAATTTCAGAAATATACTAATTTCGAGTTGTTTACACAAAAATTTCCGCTTTACATTTATTTATACAATAAATGCAAAGTTATGGGAGAGTATATATGTTTATTTTGTAATAAAATTTTATATATATTTTTATATTAGAGACTGATTTTCATTAGAATTAAATTACACGCCATCTATAGCTTGGAATTGAAACTACATGGTAGATTTGTCTCTCGATAATAATACCGATTATAGGAAAAATGGTTTTCTTCCGATTGGCGATCGACTGAGATCGAGATTGCAGGTCGGATATACAATGCACAGTCGTACACTAATCGATTTCTCGAGAATTTTGAAACATTTTGTTATAACATGTTTCACATTTTTATTTTCATAGAGTCGACTTAATGTGTAATTACAATAATTATTTATGTATGTACGTACACAACGATATAATATATACGCGTGTTCCTATTGTCATACAACTACAGTTATATTATCCGACGACATGTATTGTGTATACGTATATGCGCACATTACGACATGTTTACATGAGTAAACCACGTCGATAAGACAATTGTTATTATGATTTTTCGTCTTGTCGTGCACTTATGAGTCACCATTTTTTTTTTTTTCACATTCATAAAAAAGATATTAAATGTACACACACAATCAGCCTGTGCGCGATTGATTCCACGAACGCACACAAATGATTATAGATACGAAGAGGGGTTAGAAGGGGGAAAGCATGGTGAGGGATAGGAGGCGTGACTTGAGATAGAGTTATCAAATCACGGCTGATCACGGCGGACATTTGTCAGAAAGGCCAAACGAAGGCACTATCAGGCGGTGCGAGAGCTTGTCACTGTTTTGTTGCGCTTGCTTCCTGTGCGAGATTTATTATTATCGGCAAGCGCGATGGAAACATATGAAAGCGTTCTTTTGGTGAAGCACGAAGTTTTCGTATTCAAAATTCCGCCAAGGTCAACCAACAGGGGTTATCGGTAAGTGTTTCACGCTTTTCCCACATTTCGCAATATGTTATAAGCAATTAAATTGTATATTTTGATGGAAACAAGTGACAGTTGCTTGTCACTTGATTAAGTGCAGCGAAGAACGATAGCGAACTTTTACGTCGACTCAAAGGAATATATTGCTGTAATTTCATCCGTCATAATTTATTGCAGGGCAGCTGATTGGAATTTGCAGGAACCTTCATGGACTGGTCGAATGCGTTTAGTATCACAAGGAGAAAATATAACGATAAAGCTAGAGGACAAGGCTACAGGTGAACTGTTCGCCAAGTGCCCTATTGAGCAATATCCTGGAATTGCTGTGGAGCCTGTCACAGATTCCTCTCGATATTTTGTCCTGAGAATTCAGGATGACAATGGACGATCGGCCTTCATAGGTATTGGCTTCTTGGACAGATCTGACAGTTTTGACTTAAATGTCGCTCTTCAAGATCATTTTAAATGGGTGAAGAATCAGGAACAGATCGAACAAGAGAAGGATAAGCCAAAGCAAGAGCTGGATCTCAGATTTAAGGAAGGAGAAACTATCAAAATTAACATGAAGATTACCGTAAGAATTTTTTTAATTATCTAACTATTTTTTTTTTTTATGTTTCCCAATTATGCTTGTTAATCTTTTGTGGACTGACGAGAGTCTCCCAGATTCAGCCAAGAGTTTTTTATACTAGTGTCTCTAGTTAAAATTAATTTTTTTAAAACACTTATATCATCAAAATTAGAGATTTTTAAAATATTTTTTTTTATCGACTCAGAATTGTTCAATCTTCTGATTAAAAACAAAATTGAAAAAATATTGATTTTTTGCGAAGGTGTTTGATTTTAAAGTCACATTGGCCTCATAGACCTAGTCAGTCCAACTAGTAGGCTCTTTTTGAAATCAATCCACAAAGGGTTAAAATCTAAAGAGAAGAAAAAATGAAAGAGAGAAAGAGAGAGAAAACCGTCATTTATTACGTGCTCTGGGATGAGAGAGTGAGAGAGAGAGGTTGCATTTTACGTTAAATATTTGACCAACATCTTTCTTTTTTTTTTTGAATATAATGTATGTAAATTATTTAATCATTTATATATTTGTTATTAAGAAAAAAGATGGCAGTGAGGTTTCATCTAAGTCCAAACCACGCACCAATCCAGCTGGTGGTTTGCCACCTCCACCAGGTGGTGTCAAGATTGCTCCACCACCAGCAAAAACCCCTACTTCTTCGCCAGCACACAAGCCGCAAGGTCCAAATCAGGATGGTACAAATTCAGAATGGGGCGAGTTTGCCAGTGCTTCTCAGCAACCAACATCGGCACCTGCACCCACACCTACAGTAGCAAATGCCAGTTGGGTGCAGTTTTAATGTTTAGAAGGAAACATGTATATACCAGTATATATATATACATATATATATATATAATTTACATTATATATATATTTATATACATGATGATTCTAAAATAGATCAAATCTGGAAGTGCTTTTGTGAACCTCTTGCTTATATTAAATGATTATAAAATGAAAATCAGTATCTCTCTAACAATTGCCTTCTATTTTAGAATCATTTTGTATTTAATTAATGAATTATAAACTAGAAGAAAAATGACTCTTTGGGAAGATGTGTAGTTCTGAGAGTAATGGAAAGAGTCAGATATATATTTCGAATATTATATAGCGGGGTGTGATATAAATTATCGCAACATCCGTGACACATATACACAGATACACACACACATATATCCTCTTTCTCTTTCCGGTTGTGTTTTACGATTACCCAGCAGTCTATATATAGTATTGTACTTATAAATATTGTTCTTGAGTATTCTAGATACTCGTGCTTTGGGAAATCCAATGTATTTAAAGATACTATAATTTTTTACATATTTAATGTTGATGTTAGATGTGTATTTAGTGTCTTGTACAGAATAGTTCAATTCACTAGAGGCAAATCTGTGAGATAAATCGTAATAGTTAATACTATGAGTGGTATTTATATAAAAAAAACACGATTTTTAATTCATCTTTTTCCGTTATAAATATGAAGTATTAGACAAACACAGAATTTGAATATTTTGCAGATTAGTTTTCTGTATATCATAACTAAGCGATATTCTCTTACTTTTTCAATATGAAGCGTTCGTTAATTTCCAATAGTTGCTGAGTTTTTTAACCATCTCAATAATTTTTTTATTACATTCTTTTTATATATTATTGATTAATAATCTATAAAAAGATAATATGTATTCAATGTACAACAAATATAGAACTCGGCCTCGGCATTCTATTTCACTATTGTAAATATTATATAAGGCCTATATTGTAAAAAACAAGGCCTAATTTTCTCATACATTGGATGTCCACAAAGTTTATCTCATTCAATTTTAATACATTTAAAGCTTTTTATTTACATTATATGTAATTAAGCTGCACAGGTTTCATACTATACTTTGAGTTCATTATTTTGTCTCAGAGCTAAGTACTTTTTTAGTCTGAGATATGAATTACTGTTAATAATTATTTTTACAGGAAGATAAATTTAACAATAGAGAATAATTATATTTCTTTATTAAACAAATAATAACAGCGATACATTTTTTATCTTTAAAGCAACGTAAAATAAATGCTTCGAAATTGATTGAAACATTTGCGATAACTATTTTTAAACAATAACTTTCACATATCTCGAAACAATGGTTTGCATGCACATACTTGGAGTATGTGTAAAACATTGGTATAATTGGAATCGATTGCCTTTGTGGCAAAAAGGAGCAGAATGTTATGCTATCTATATCTATCTCGTTGATTAGAAGGTGTCTCGTTGATTAAATTGTACACAATGTTATATAATATTTACGTTAATCCGCATTTAAATATAAAATATAGAAGCACTTTGTTAAACATATTTGTTTGAGAGTGTGATGAATCTTGTTGAATGAATGTTTAGAAGCGACTTTATTATGTAGTAATTTTTTTATAATTTAATGAATTTATAAGAATTATCTCATACCAAAGTGAGTGCGAAATAGCAGTGGAAAAAATACACATTTATATAAATAAGAAATACAATATTTGAATAATAATGTATAAAAAAAGAAACGACACAAACATAAAACAAACAATATTTATATTAGTGTAATATTTCTAAATTATATACATATAATTACATACAATTTTACTATTTGTATATAAAACTATAATTTGCTTTTAAAGTAAAATAATTATATGGAAATTTATAAACAGTATTTTTTTTTTAGTATATAATTCTCTATAATATGTAATTATATATATAAATCTTTATTAAAATAGACTACAAATAAAATTCTACTGCTATTTCAAGCTTTCTTTGGGATATTTTGTATGTCAAAGTGTTTAGATATACATATACATACATGTATGTGTATACGCAGATACATGAAAAAATTATAAAGGTTTACTTTTATAACGTACATAAATATATATGTATATATACATGTATATATGTATATGTGTATACATATATACATATATATAATATACACTCCATCTTCATGTATATGCAACTGCAAAAACTGTTATAATGTATCGTATGTGATAGTAACTAAAAAGAGAATTATTGTATAATGCTGACATATATATATATGTATGACATTCCATATTTTTTATTTTCTGTAAACATGTTAAACAGATAAAAATAAATATCAAGTAAACGTTAAATTTAAGATATTTTTGTTTCGGAAGTTCAGGTTCAAAAATAAAAAAGCAGCAATAAAATTTTAATATATTTTGTCGTATATTTTTTCTGGAGATACATAATAAACAGTTGGTGCATCTCAAGAATCAGTATGAATCACGTTTACAAATAATACCTTTTGCGGGGGAGATAAATTAATTGCGGCATAAAAAGTTGGTTCTATCACACGTATAAACAACTGAGTTTTCACAGTAACATTTTCAGCAGCGTTTGCGAGCGACATTGAGTCGTAAGCTGCGCATAGCCATAGCACGACTAAAATGCCGTTGTACCGGACGCTGAAGCTGTCCGCTTACTAGAGTGGAATCCTCGTCCCATTCCAGACTACTTACTACAACCAATATCACACCTAATCCCTGTAAGAACAGATAAACGTATGACAACAATAATTCTCGCGACTATTTGACAGAAGCAAAAGTTAAAAAAAAAAAAAAAAAAAAAAAAACTATCATCCTATAAAAGTAAAGCTGCATTTTATTTTATTTTATTTTTTTAAAGTTTGAGAAAAACTCATTAAAAATTTTTTTACTTATTTAACTTTACACATGAATTTGAGTAATTTACGTACCAAGCAAATGATAATTAGCAACGTGTAGATATGTATACTCGCAGCAGGTAGCTCTACCTCTTTTAGAGCATCGGCAGCGTCAGTGAGATCTGGTTTTAATTCTAACGCGTGACGCAAATGTACAGCTGCTTCTTGAAAGTGCCCGTACGCCTGCAAAATGATATAAGTCCAAAATTGCATATGCTTCTACGTAAGCTGCGTTTGAGAAGTTCACTATCTACGCTATTGTATTATTCTATATTTATTGCTCATTAGATGTAAAACAAAGATAGAGTGACGCGATAGCGTCGATAGCGCGCTTCTCAAACGCAATCGTAGTAATATTAAACTGTCATCTACATACTTTAAAGATTTGTCCGAGTGTAAGATACTGTTCCCACGCATTGCGATCTGGAGGCTGCAATTCTAAGGATCGTCTAGCTAAATATGTTGCATCATCCAAATAATGCTGTACGAGTAATACTCTAGCCAGATTCAAGAGCACTTCTGCATTGTGCGGTGACACAGCAAGTGCTCTGCGAAAACACTCAATTGATCTCTGCGCGTCACCTTTTATACGCCAAAAATTTCCTATCTGATTGTACAGCTGGACAGATTTTGGTTTCTGTAAAACATACGTTTAGAAAAAACATGAGAAAAATTAGGTCAACAACATATGTGAAGAATTTATATCTCAATTACTTTAAAAGTAATTATTTATTTATTTATTTCATTATATAATACGAAGAAAATATTCAGGAAAAGCATTTATTCACACACACAAAATTGGGGTAAGTTAATTTGTTCTTTCTATCAAAGAGATGCTAGTCACAACTTCATATTTGATTCTACATAATTGTCACACACAGTATCGATAGTAGATGCATAAAATACAAATCAACTAATAGGATCTTGAAATAGATACCTCTCTCTTTGCCTTCTTCAAACGTTTCTCTAGCAAATCAATATCAACATCAACAGTTTTGGCGCCATTCTTTTTGAACATGAGTGCCACATTAGGCTCTGGCACTAATGGATGCTTGTTCCTATTCGCCACACCGATTAGATTATCATAGTAAGTAAAGTTCACAGGTTTGCCGCAATCCAATATTATGTTGTCGCATTGTTGACTGGAAGCGCATGTCACTTGCTCATTTGACACTTGCGAAGACAGGGAAAAAGGCTCGCTGACATTTTGTGCATTCTTCAGCTCGTACGGAGAAAGTGGTCTGCCAAGGGGACTAAAGATAAGGCTGTTTTAACACTGAATGAACAGCAAGCCACACACAAAACGCTAACTACAGAAAGAAAAAGAAAATTATGTCACATAAATAATATTTGCTTGTATAACAGGATGAAACAACGCAAGCATAATAATATGAATTTGATTGCAAACGATCCAGGGAAACACAGGAATTTTTTATTTAATATCATTAAAGCAATATCTTACAATTCTGTCATTTAATTTGACAGAATTTTATACTACGAATGGAATATGTATACGGCGAAAAGAAATAAAGGTAGAATGCAGGAAAACGCAGTTATAAAAATCGAATGGAAATTAATTTTACAACTTGACAAATACACTCGATCCTTTAAGTAAATAATAAAATAAGTAAACTTTACCTCTCCTGACTAACGAAACCGTTACACTCCTGGCAATATATCTGCACTTTCTCGTGCTTCTCCGAGGTCGCGGTTCTGCTCCAGCTCTGGCCATTGCTGGTAATCGCGCTACTCGCAAGGATATCAAAAATCGGATCGTCTTCGACCGTGTTTACGAAATCGGTTGTCTTCACGACTTTGTCTGCGTTCAGCCGCCAGGACGTACGTGAATTCGTCAGTTCTATCTGCAGAATCAGCAGGCAAAATGCATATCTCCCTTCGGCCCATGTCAGTCGCATTCTTCTTTGATCTTTCTTCCGTTTAGAATTGTTTACTCTCGCAACGTAGAGAGAGAGAGAGAGAAAGAGAGAGAGAGAGAGAGAGATAGGAAAAACGAGAGAAGGGCAAATCAGAACAGAAGCTGTGTTTCTGTTGTTCTATAGATGCTGCTCACAGATTGTCACAAATACACCGACGAAACTATAGGAATTCTTCCATTTTGGATACTAGGCCGAAAATTCTGGTGGCCAATGACTGTGGAGGGGCTTTCTGGGCTGCGTTCCAAAATTCTACTCCGTCAACTCTAAAGAACCTAGAGTAGTGGGGGTAACGAGTAAACCAGAGTAAGTTACGAAAACGAACGGTTTTGGAACGCAAAATGGTAAGAATCAGGGCTTGAGCACAATAGAGAAAATATTAGAAATAAGAATTAGAAATAGAAGTTAAATATACTATACATTGACAAAAAATAAAATATAACTATAAAAGCTGCTTTCCTTTTAGGAGATACAGTCGACACAAGTCGACACAAAAATCATTCTATCTTCGTTCAGTATTCAGTGAGAAACAAAGACAGAATGACTCTTGTGTCGACTTTAGAGTCCCTGGAAATAAGAGTCTGGCCAATGTTTAATCTGAAACAAAATGGCGTCGATAATTACTATATATATCGTATTCTATATCGTATAAGGCCGATTTCCTTATATCTCCCGATAGCTATTCTTT